GCCCAGGACTGCGGATTTTGTTGCTTGTTTAGACTTTGAGACAGATGGTCTTGCTGTGTAGCTCAGGCAGGCCTCTAGCTCCTGATGCCTCTGCCCCAGGCTCTTGCGTGCTGGGATTACAGGGCGCACCGTATGCCTTGCCTAGTTAGTAAGAGTGATGAATTATGTAGTCACTTTCCTCAGAGTCAGACACAGCCTTTGCTAGTTAATGTCTGTTTTAAGGATTTGAGGAGGGTTTCTTCATTTCTTTTTTTAATGAACAGAGATAATGATGCACTAGCTGTAGCAAAACAGAGGTCAAGGAGAGGTCGTCGTGGTCAGGGTAGGGCATCGTGGCATGGCTGGGGCTTCTGTTGCACTCCAGTTTGCTGGCAGTTTTTGTCAGGCTCACAGAGGACTGTCCCCCATCTGGACTGGCAGGAAGTTTCATGATGAGCCCAGTAGGGACGGTAGCTACCATATGAGCTATTCTGAGTCACTTTTTGAAAATTATACTAAGAATTGGCTAACAGAGGTGAAAATCGTGATGGCTCCAAACCAGGGGCTGAGGGACAGGCTGTGAGGAGCTGTGGGTCAGGGACACGGAACAGGGGTGTGAAGCCCTGATTTACAGAGGATGTGGAGTCACAGGAACAGAAGGGGTGAGGCTGTGAGAGCCTGCGAAGCAGGGGTGTAAGTGTTCCTGGGCTGAGGGAGAGGACTGGGAGGGAGGAGCTGCACAGACCCAGCCTGTGGCCTGCTTGCGCAAGCTTTGACTCTCCATGCCTCCATGCGCCAGATGGAAACCATCCACAGGCCCTGGCATCACGAGACATAGATAGAGCTCACCTCTCATAGCAGCTCTCGGGTCACAGTGCCTGTGCCCCGGCTGCCTGCAGTCTGTTCTTACCGGCACCGGAGTGGTCTTGTCATAAGGAAGTCAGAGGGTTCTGCTCTAGAACACAGTCATTCACCTCACCCAGAGCAGAAATTGTCTTTTGAAGAGCTCAAGGCTCCCTACACCCTTCAAGGCCTCCACCCTCTGACCTCACCTCCTTGCTGTCCTTCCTGCTCCCCACTGAACTTGACACTCTCCAGAGCCCCAGAGCACATGACCAGGAGTGGTGCCCACTCGGCTTTTGTATGTTTCCCCTCCTTCGTCATCACCCCACACAATGGAAATGCTGTGTCCACTTAGTCCTGATGTCTCTACAGCCCACACCCACTGTGCTCAGGGACCCTTCCTTATTGGGTGGGTGAAACAGAAGAAAGGAAAGATTATGGATTTGATTGATTAAAAAAAGAATGTAAAACTGAAGCTAGAACTGGAGTTAAAAACAAATGGCAGATTGCATTTTATGTTGTAAATATTCTACTCAGTTCTTTGAGGATGACAGAACATGAGGAGTGACTTCAGTGCACAGAACAGAAGTGTCCTCACACTGAGGGGCAGGCAGCCTGGATGGCAGTGAAGCCAGTGCAGACGTCAGCACAGGAATGTCCCCACCTGTCAAGTGCAGTTCAGTGTGGGCCCGCCTGGACAGGCCAGACAGGTGCTGTCCCATGGCCCAGTCAGGGTCATCTGGGAATCAGATCTAATGCCAGAAGGTAGAGATATGGGCTAGGAACCATCAAACAGGTTTAATATCGTGCAGAAGGCAGTGATAAGAGTTCATCAAGGGCACCTCACGGGGGGCGGACAAGACAGGCCGTCTCAGTGAGGCCTAGAGCAAAGACTAGTGAAAGCCACTGCTACTGTCAACTCACCAGAGAAGGGAGTGACCTGAGAATTGAGGGCTTGCCTCGATCCGGCTGGCCTCTGGGCATGTCTGTGGGGATGTCTTGATTGTTTGCCCATTGATATAAGAGTTCCCAGCCCACTATGGGTGACACCATATTATGGGCTGGGCCCCAAAGTTAACAGAAAGAAACAAGCAAGCAGACAGCATGGGTATAATGTTCATTTCTCTGTGCTCTTGGCTGTGGATGTGATGTGACTAGCTGCTTGAGTCCCTGCCTTGGCTTCCCTGAATTGATGGACTGTGTCCTGGAACTGTAAGTCAAATAAAAGTCTCTCCCCAGGGTTGCTTTTAATCAGGCTATTTGTCACATTAATATAAGTGATACTAGGGCACCCAGTGATGTCACAGGATGCTTTATGGTTGTTCCCCTTAAGTTGAAGCTATTATGGGTAGCTGGTTAGGGAGCCTCTCAGTCAACTCCAGGAACACAGGAGAGCTTTGGGTCAAGGAACTCTACTTCTAGAAAGACTTCTGGAGAAAACTAGAGCTACGTCCGAAGCATGTGCATAGGGCACTGAGGTTGGACCCTACTTCAAAGTCTTCCAGACTGTGAATAATGGAAACAAGATATTCCTTTATACTCATGGGAGGAAATAGGGCTAGGGAGATGATGTGACTGGTTAACATGAGAGCCTGAACTCCACCCCACACCCTGCACAAGTCGGGAGTGACAGTGCATGTGTGTAATTCCATTGTTGGGGAGTGGAGATGGGGTCCCCAGGCTTTCTGGCCAGCCAGTCTAACTGAATCAGTGAGCTCCAGTGGGGGTTCAATGAGAGTTGGGTATGGTGGCTCACACCTTTAGCCCCAGCTCTCGGGAGGCAGAGGCAGGCCTATCTCTGTGAGTTTGAGGCCAGCCTGGTCTACAGAGTTAAGTTCCAGCTGGGGCTATGTAGAGAGACCCTGTTTCAAAAAAAAAAAAAAAACAAACAAAAAAAAAAAACAAGTGAAAAGCAACTGAGGAAATACCCGTTATAACTGATATGCACACCTGTGAACACACATACATGTATACACACACAAAGTAAAAAATGAGGTGCTTATAAACAACATGCAAAAATAGTTGCTGCCTTTCTGGTGTGTGTATACACGTATGTGTGTGACATGAGAGAGACAGTATAACATAATGTATATTGCATGCAAAAGAACCTAGGCCAAACCCTCGTGTCCCCTGTGGTCCTCACTGAGGCAAGAGTCAGCCTGCTCGAGACTGCTTTCTGCAAGTCATTGTTTCATGGACAGCATGAAAAACATGCAGAGAAGAACAACCTGATGTGACGCCGTAGGAGCTAGGAAGGTGTAGTGTGCAGCTTCGCTGCCGTCGCCATCAGAATGGCACCGGGCTGATGTCCCCCAGAGCCCCTTAGCAAGGTGCCCACAACCTGGATCAGTTTGCAGGGTGGTAGAGGACGGTATGTAAACTCAGGCAAGAATCCACAATGAGCTTGTGTCCCCTTAGGAGGTGATTTTCTAATTCTGGTTAATTCTTGTCAGAATACATGCTTTAGAATAAGTGGATTAACAGAGGTACCCTTCTTCACAGATAGGAAAAACAGTAGCAAGGTTCACAAACAGTGCCTAAGGACTGTTGTAACCCTGAGCAAAACAAACACAGCCGGGGGCATCCTAGCACCTGATTTCAAACACACTGTAAAGCAGAGCGGCCCAAACAGCAGGATATTGTCACACAGATGGTGAAGCAGAAGTGGGGACCCAGAAGTCGAATATCTGCAGCCAACTGATGTTCAACAGAGGCACAGACACCAGTGCCAGCAAAACTGGTTATCCACGCACAGAAGAATGAACCCTGACCCTGCCCACCATCGTAAAATCCAACTCCAGATGGTCGTTACAGACAATGAGACTGTGGATAAGTTCCCCAAACAAAGGCAAAAGCAGACCAGTGAGATTTTATCAAACTAAAAGCTTTTGAGAAAAAAATATTTGTAAACTGTGTAGAATAGGAACCAAGTAGGAGAAACAGTCTAATTAAAAAAAGAAGCCAAGCGTCCGGGCATGGCGGTGCATGCCTGCTCCTTAGCACTTGGGAGGCAGAGCAGGCAGGTCAAAGTTGAGGTCACTGTCAGCTAGGTAGGGAGTTTGAGGCCCCAACTTATTGGGGCCAAATGAGGCTGTCTGAAACAGACAGATGGAAAAATAACAGGAAAACAAAGCAGGAGATAGAAATATGCCCCTCCCCCTTTGTTAAGTTTCTTAAGATAGGGTTTCAATGTGTAACTGCCCTGGCTGTCCTGGCACTCGCTCTGTAGACCAGGCTGGCCTTGAACTCACAGAGATCTGCCTACCTCTGCCTCCCGAGTGCTGGGATTAAACCAGCACCACCAATGCCCGGCTTACTTTGGTTTTTGAGACAGGGTTTCTCTGTGTAGCCCTAACTGTCCTGGAACTTGCTCTGTAGAAGGCTGGCCTCTAACTCAGGTATCTGCCTGCTTCTGCCTCCTTAATGCTAGGACTAAAGGTGTGCGCCACCACACCCAGCTTCCTGATATAGCATTACTATGATTTGCATTTATTTATTGTGCTGGGGTGGGGGACTATGCATGCATCGTGAGAATGTGGAGGTCAGAAGACTACTTGTGGGAGTTGGTTGTCCCCTCCCACCTTTATATGCATTTTGGGGTCCACCTTGATCTTCAGGCTGTGTGATGTGTCAAGTTCTTTACCCATCGGGCCATCTTGCCAGCCCCACATTCATAATATGAGTGGGAAGTCCTCAATACAAGAGATGACATTTAAGGACAAAGAGATGCCAAACATTGTGTGTATGGAATGATCCGTCTGAATCCCGTAAACGTGCAATTGCAGAAATCAGAGTGGGGTTGGAATGACCTTACACTTTGAGGAGTGTGGCCCTTGATTTTCCCAACCCTGGGCCATGCCCCTGCTTTTAGCTGGGACATGATAGCATGCTGTGGTGATTGCCATCTTTTGTGGCTGTCTTATGGATGTCAGTGAGCTACTTTCTCACTGGGAGATGACGGGTTTGGGGTGATTCCTGGTGAAGCAGAGAGTAGCAGCTGCTGTGTCCTTGCTTGGGTGAGTGAGGGTGGGGTGGGCCCTCTGCTGAGCTGGTGTGATGACTCAGTGCTGTTTAACATGCTGAAGGAGCTTGAGCTTTACTTCAGAACTGGGTGGTGACAGAGACTGCAGTGACGTCTGCAGAGGGTGCAGGCTAATTGGTCCCCTGTGCCACTAGCTGTTCCTCTGGTAGTCCAAAAGCAGCCCTGAGCTGTTCTAGTGGCTCCCTGTAGGAGTTCCTAGCCTCACCCAACCCACAGTCCAGGAAACTGCTCAGAATACTTTGCTGAGTGAGTTAGCAGCAGAGCCCACCTGTCCTGCCCTGAGAAGCCCAACAATGGTTCTTAAAGGAGAAGGGGAGGACGGTGAGTCTCAGCCCAGACTAGACCCAGGGAGGATGGTGAGTCCCAGCCCAGACTAGACCCAGGGAGGATGGTGAGTCCCAGCCCAGACAGCCCCAGAGGGTCCCAGGTAGGTAGGTGGTTGTCTGAGGGTCTCTTTGGACTCATCTATGAGCCCCTGTAAGGAAGGCTTTACGGGACCTTTGTAGCTGGGTTTGGTCAGAGTTTGGTTTTTACCCTGTTCCTTTCAGAAGATCTGCAGTGTGCTGAGTAAGACTAAGGGGTGTGTGTGTGTGTGTGTGTGTGTGTGTGTGTGTGTGTGTGTGTGTGTGTGTGTGTGTGTCTCAGTCAGGGGAGAGAGGCAGACAGAGTGAATAAATACGAGATTCTAAATGATGTGGCAAGAGTCATCCCGGCTTCTACCGCCTTTGCTTTGTGCAAGACAGTAATGTTCTGGGAGGCACTTAGTCTCCTGCTTGCTGGCCATTTACTGGCTCCTAGGAGCAGTTGGGCCACAGATGTGGGAACTGTGTGCCACAGTGAAGCTGGGCTGAGAAGTAAAGACATCACTGGGTTATGCCATTAAAATCGGCATCAATGGTTCTTGCTTTTCCTAAAGGAAGGAGAGGCTTCCTCTTTCTCTGTGGGGTGAAGACGGTTTGAAGTCTCATGGTGCTTCCCTCACTGTCCCCCAATCCAGCTGTAAACAGCGGAGCTGTGAGTCAGGAGCTGAGACTCTGGGCAGTCTCCCTGCTGTACCCTCCTTGGCTCAACTACAGTGCTTCAGCCCTGAGGCAAAAGAGGGCAAGTGTGACCAGCCGCAGCTAGTGTGGGTATTACAGTAAACCAGACTTGGAGATGAGGCCGCTTCAAGAACGATTCCAGGGAAACTGACTGTGTCTTTCACTTCCCTCTCCTGGCGTACTGAACACACACTTGAAGTCTCACCTCTAAAGAGAGCTCTCCCCCGGCAGTTTCCATGAGGCTGCCTGTGTGGAAAACTCTATTGTGGGTACAACTTCTGAGTGAGAGGGACATGCTATCTTTATTGCAGTACCTTTGCTTCCAAAGAGGGGCGTGGTAATTGGGGCCGAGGCCAGGCCAGGGTATGCTGCCCACTGGGAGCGGTTTTTTTGTTGTTGTTGTTGTTGTTTTTTTTTTTTTTTTTTTTTTTTTTGGTATTTTTTGGAGTGATGAATACACATTAGCCCTGGTATCCAGCTCCAAGGGAAAGAGTTCTGAGAGAAGAGGAGGGCACAGAATAAAATGGTAGAATAATCAGAGTGAGACTGCCTAAGGAGGTCAGCAGTGATCCATGTCACATCTTCAAGGCTTCTGGCTGTCAGTAGCTGCCCCCAGCTCCACACTGGGCTAGCAAGTGTGGAATAGTGACTTTAGCCAGAGGACTCATATGTGTTTGGGTTCCCCATTGCCCTGTAGGCTTTAAAGTGTCTTCAGATGCCCTGAGTGTGGGTACAGGCCTAAATCCAGGCTGGGGTGATGGGCCTGGGGCAGGCCTAGGGCAGAGCTTGAGGGATTGGATCAGCTCTAATTATAGTGAACAACCCTGAAAAGCCAGTGCCCCGTCTCCCACCCCTCCTGAAGTCTCCTATTTGGTACAAAAGGGAAGAGTGTTGCCCTTTTAACCACTGCTAAAGTAGATTCCCGAGCTGTAGCCACAGAAACAGGACGGCATTTAGGTGGGTGTAAAAGGGAAGAGAACACGTGGGGTTTCCTGTGGCAAGTCCCTAAGGTCCCCAAGGAGGAGAGAGGGCGCTTCTCAAGGAGCTATCTCCCCCAGACTTGCTGTCCTGAGTGCCTGCCTGCTCAGTGGTGAGGGCTCTGGCCAGACGCTCCGAAGGCAGGCCCTTCCGCTGTGCACACCAGCTGTGCAGCCTTCACATCCTTCTTTTAAAAAGATTACATGGATTTATTTATTTTTTACTTACTTATGTGCATGAACGTTTTGCCTGCATGTGTGTAGCACATGTGTACCTGATGTCCTAGAGTCAGAAGAGGGCATAGGATCCCCTGGAACTGGAGATATAAAAGACTGAGCCACTGTGGGTGCTGGGGGTCAGACCTGGGTCCTCTGGAAGAGCAGCCAGTGCTCTGACTGCTGGATCCCCTCTCCTTTCTTCTCTGCATGGAAATAACCGGCTCTTCTCCAGCATCGTGTGTTATTTGCCTAATGAAGAGTCACCAATATCATCAACTGGGCCTGTTTCCTTAACTGCTGCAGGGTTGCGTCTGGTAGATTAGCTATTTGAGCTCATCTGCTTATGTGTAGTCCCCCTTGGTTTTCCACTGAACCCTCTCTTTAGGATGGAATTGAGACTCCTCAATGTGTATCCCTGGCCTTCCACAGCAGGCGCTAAGGCTCCTCCTGGGCTCTCTGGCCCTGACTCGTAGTGTGCCCACCATCCTTGAGCTTTCGTATATCACTCGGGATTCGCCATCCCCACAGCGTCTCTGTTTTGGAATGGCTGATCATTAAGTCCTGGGTCCAGCTGGCCCTTCCGCAGCATCTCGGCATGTCCCTGGCATGCACAGACACCGCGCCAGGTTGCTGCTGCCACAGCCTTGCCCGCCTCTCCCCACTGGCAAGGCTGGGTCTGGAGCTATTTAAGTCCCAGTTCCAAGCACAGGCTGCGCCTATGGCAGATGCTCAGCAAATGCTAAACGAATCTGTAGGTTTCAGTAGGAGAATCAATTGCTAAGGACCAGTTGAGGATCAGGAGTGTGAAGCAGGCTGTCGGTGTAGGATCTGTGCCTCATTGAGGAACTGGCAGGAGCAGTTCAACTCAGGGAACAGTTCAGACCTGAGCTAAAAGGACTCAAAAGCGTCTGAAGCTATGAGGTACTAAAGGGTATAAAGTAGTATTACTTATAGGAAAACACGCCAAATAGAGTTGTATATGGGGCCTCTTGGGTAGAACACTAAGTTTTCAGTTCACCTTGATCTTAACTTGGCTGGCAGCAGCATCCTGGTGACCTGTGTCCTGGTTTGGGACAAGCTGCTTGGTAGGTGTTAGAAGGAAGACCCAAGGTGCTGTGAATGAAGACCTTGGTGCTTCTCAGGGTGACACCTGCTTCCACCGTGTGTTTAAGCAGGAGCATGTCTGAGGCTGCACAAAGCACACATGAAGGCAAGAAGCCCATGTCACCATCTGTCTGCTGGGACAGTGTTGAAGGTCAAGCACAGCAGCCCCAAATGGGCACAGCCGCATCTCACCCTTTCTCCTTACTGAGGGAGTAGGCAGAAGCAAGAGCCCAGCTGCCCCTGAAGACAGTCGGCCTTTCCCACCGCCTGAGGCCTTCTGCCCCTGCCAAGGTTCCTGTGTGGAGTGTGAGAGCTAGGCCCAGGACCAGTTAGGAAGGAGGTTTGGGAAGGCAGAAGGTGGGAAGAAAAGCAGGCTTGGGCCCTGGATATCAGGGGTCCTGTTGGCTTGCAGAGTAGTCAGCAAGGCCGAAGCCAGGCACTGCAGAGGGAGAGAGGAGCGCAGCCTGGAGGCAGTGTGCTCCAGTTTTCAGCCAGTCATCCCAGTGCCCACAAAAACTTCTGCAATCAGGGTGGGGGTTGCATATAGTTTGCTGTTGGCAACATCCAAGATGGAGAGTTAGACCTTCTGGAAATATCTGGGAGTTCCCACCTCTCATTTTCCCGTTGGACCTTGACAGTCTTCCAAAAGCAGCTTCACTGAACACAGTGTTCTGGTGTCTGCACGTCTGTCTGTCTCCTGCTTAGCTGCACTTTCTTTCTTCTTAGGAAGACCACCAGGGAATGAGGCTTCTCCCACCCACCCTCCCAGGCCTTCAGTTTGTGTGGTTCCGGCACAGAGCCAGGTGTCACTAGCAGCTGTGCAGTGACTTCCAGAGCAGGAAGTACCTTTGCAGTTACCCAGCCAGTCCCTGGTCAGCTCTAAAGTAACAGCCATTGCCTTGGCTCCCAGGCAAGTGGGCCTCTGAACACGGAGCTCCTGACAGCCAGGAAGAGGCCGACCCAGCCCTGCTGATGCCACCTCTCTTGTCTGTGGAGGTCATCAGCTGCCACGGTGTGGCATGGCGGGGAGCTATGGGGCAGGAAGTCGAGTCCTGCTCCTTGCAGATGGGCTGTGGTGGAAGGACCCACCCAGCACGTCCCTTCCTTCCTTGAGAAAATGAGGAAGCCATATTTTGCCTTAGCCCTGTGTGTTTCATGCTTTACAGAGGACTAACTCATGGAAGCTCAGTTTATGACCTCAGAGAGACCTGTGAGTCTCTCTCCAGAGTGAGTGGCTGCTCTGACCCCTTCTCAGTGTAAGGACTCAGGCATTGTGCTGACCTGCCTGTCACCTGGCAGAATGCACTGAGGCAGGGCCCCAGTCAGCTCAGGTGCAAAGGGCCCCTTTAAAAGAAAAACCCCCATCCTCTTATGCTCTCTTTCTTGCTGTTCCCCTGGGGCACAGGACTTTTCCTGTCTCCCTCTTCTCTTCTGTCCTTTCTCTGTCTCTGTGTCTCTTTACCTTGTTTCCCTTTCCTTCCCCCCTTTCCGTTTCTAATAAAACCTCTCATTAAGCTGTCTGCCTGGCATGTTTGTCCCCCGCTGGGTCACCCTAGCCTGCCATGGAATCCACCAAGGTTCTCCACGCGCTCTACAGTAACACGCAGTGCTCCATATTCTTTCCCATCTTCTTTGAGTCAGGACTGAGCACCAAGTCCCTATGAAGGCCGTGGTGGTGATACCGTAGCAGCATCAGGGTGCCAAGCAGGCACCTGGCCAATAGTGGACCAGAGCCTAGGAGCATTCTTAACAGAGGAAGGACTCAGGCTCTGTCTAGGCAAAGGAGCAGGTGGCTTTTTTTGAATTTTCTCTGAGGAGAAGTCTCAATAGCAAAGATTGCATTTCCTGTGAACCCAACTTAACCGAACAGTAGCAAAGGAAGAGTTGGAGCTTGCCCCCTCTCCAAGCCTCATTTATGTGGTGGCTGCCGATGGTGTGGAGTTTACATGTGTCCACCAGGCCCATGTCACGAATAAGGTGG